ATAGGATTGGCTAAATTTAGATATTTATTATCAATCCTATGATTTAAGTTCCAAGTTTTTATTTGGATTTTTTTTTTTTCAGAGTTTGGCAGTATATAATAAACTGCTTAATAGAGCAATTTATAAAATTGCGCAATATTGGCTTTACTATTTGTGTATTGCCATAGAATGGCGTTATCAAGTAATTAAAAAATGTATCAATATTTTTTAATAAATTTAAAGTAGGTTAATAGGACATGTAGAAATTATGTTACGTATGACAATACCAGCATTAACTATACATACGTATGATCAAGAATCTGGTATGTCCATCCGAATCCGTACTGCCGTACAGTACTACTTTACTTACTAGCAGCTAGAGATATCACATTATGCATTGCGCTTAGCTAAGTATGTACGTACGTACATACATGAATTTACTTTATAGTTATGTGGCGATTGAGAATTTTTTGACACATTCAACCCTGTGATTTGATTGGCTGATTCAGGTCGACCAATCACGTGATATTTTTCAAATCTGATAACCTGCCAAAACTGATACAAAACCCGTCTACCATGCATATCAGTTTTGGGAGGGTCGACTGTATATTGAATTTGATGATATAATATGAAACTTAAAAAATTTTGCTGTTTTTCATCTAGTTCCTTTGGTAAATGCTGAGTTATATTAGTATAGCGATGATTAGAAAATTGTTTTCTATTCATAAAACCATCAAGCCACTTATTTGAAAATTGAAAATCTTGAATTTGTGGATATAAATCTTAATATTGCTGATTTTTTGCTAAAAATTTAGCTTTTATTGTTATATTTTTCCTAGTAATAGCTTGTGCATTTTGCTACAAACTCATCATCTAGTCATACAACTCATTTTCCAAACGTGGTAAATATGATCCTCTACCCGCATGAAGTTTTTGAACAAATGAGGCAACTGATTATAACTGTAATTTTTTACTTTTCCATTCACAGACTTGTTTTGGTTGAATGTCAAACCTTCTTGCAGTTGTACAAATATTTTGTGATCTTTCAGCATAATAAACAATAAGTAATTTTTCCCGGGCAGTCCAAGAATGACATATCTTTTCAGTAACACATGCTCTTTTAAAACTTTTACTAGCTCTAGGTATTATTAATTGTTAAAATATGACTAACGCTAAAAGCATAAAAATGCTTGATTGACAAAACTAATTTTTTTTTTATAAAAAACCTATCATCAGAGTTTTAGTTGATTACAAATACTATATGACTGCAGCACTCACCTAGTGCAACTTATACCCCCTATGCTAACTATAGTATCCCTCTGACTATAACACCCCTATATACTGCTTAAATTGTAAAGTACCCTGGGTATTTTAGTCCACGCTGTACGGTAATACCATATGATATGGTTACACAATGTTGATCTACAATCTATTTTATATGAATTTGGAAATAGTGACATTAAGTACGCGTTTGATCAAAATTGTGTTTTGAGGGTCCTTTAAAGTGGGGCAATGATCTACATACTGCATAAGCTATATTTTTGAAATTCCTGGTAGGGACATCGGAACCCTGGTCGGAAGGGCCGGAATCGTTCAATTTTGCCCAAAGATCACTAAAAATTTTACTAATGAAATCATGATCGCACATTAAGTAAAAAGTGTCCAGCTGATAATTTTACTATAGTTCCTGCTAACTAGTATAGCTAACCCTAACCCTAACGTCGATGCATTCCGACCAGGAATTTCGGAGATTGCCCTGTAAAAAAGAATACGTATTTTTTTTATAAAATAATAATGTTGATATGCTAAATACTAAATAAAATGTTTAACTAATTTTTTAAAAAATACAGCATATCTATTTCGTTTTTTTTAAATTCTAAATTACCCTATTTGTGTTAATATAAAATAGAAACATCTTCAGTTCCGAAAATATTATTGGGACGTTCCAGTCAGTCTAAATCCCTATAATTATTGTATTTGATCTTGTATTCTGGTTGGCCGCAGCGACAAACAAAAAAAAATCACGAATTATACAGTACGCATAACATCTAAGGTCCAATTCAGACTTTGTCCGACCAGATCCTAAATCCAATAACAATATATATATAGTATATCAGTCGGATCAGGAAGATCATATATTAAAAAAAAAAAAAAATCCCATAAAATTTAATTTTTACTAAATTTCAACTCGCATAAGTTGCACAAATTTCTTTACTTCATTCAGTAGGAAACTTTACCTGTTAGTAGCATTGCTACTACAGATAATTTTTTCTAACATGATGAATTAGTGGGCGTCAAACTTTTTTCTGATCTGAAAATGATTAAGGAAAGCCCTGGCTTTGCAACAGCCGTTTCTGAGCTTAATGAATGAAGTATATATAGGAACAATAAATGCATAACTAATGTTTTAATAAAATAAAATTAATTCAGATTTACAACCTTTATTAACATGTATATATTTAATGCGTACTCGGAATTTAGTTTTAAAATTAAAATTAGGAAATAAAAACATGACATTTGATGTATACATTTACAGATAAATAAATCATTCAAAATATCTAATTATATGGTTATTTTAAAACCATAAAACATCAATTTTAAATATTGATTATAAAAAGTAATATAGGTGGATCCCGTAAAATTAAGTAAAAAATAAACTAAGTTATATAAATTATTTATATATCTTGAAGTGTAGCTACACCGTTTTTTTTTTTTTTTTTGTTTTTTTTTATACTATAGTGAATAGTGAATATTGAAAAACTCACGGGCTTACACCACCAAATTGAGATGAACTATCTGGAAGACCTGCATCAACATCAAATCCTATTCCTTTTGAACGTCTTTTCCTATTCCATGCACCGTCACCATACATTGTATCCCATTTTCTCAGCTCAGTCAAACTTGACATATCTTCTGAACAAGAAGGAGTCACTTGTTTAAGCGCAAGCTGAAAATGATGGGTTTTTAATACTCTGATTTCTGGGTGTTTGTCAAAGGTCTTTTTAATAATCCCTTTGCCAATTGTACTAGAATTGGCTTGTTCTTTTTCTGCATCCTCGCGGACAGCAGCAAGAGCAGCACTAATACATAAATTTTTTAAATCTGACCCAGAATAAAGGTTGGTTATTTTCGCTAAGTTTGCTAATGATATTGACGATTCAAGCTTTTCGTCACGAAGATGCAAATGGAGAATTTGTTCACGATCCTTTTCGGTAGGTAAGTCAACTATGTAAATTATGGCGGTTTGTTAATCTCAAAATATTAAGCGAGGCAGTGTTGACCAATGACACCTAAGCTTTATCTTTTTTTAATATGACCTTGGCCGTATAATAATACAGCCTTTTATCATAAGTCACTTTAGTTATACTTTAGATCATTAAAAAATTAAATTTTTATCTAATAAATGTTATGTCGAATGACTTATGATATGTTCATATAGGTTTTATAGATCATTAGAAGTCATTGGTCAACACTGATGCAAAATGTTTAAGAGACGTGTCAGATATTAGTAAATATCAATTTACTATAGAGCTCCTCCAGAAACGATTAGTCTATTTTGATTAGTTTAAATATGTTTAGACCTGAAATTTATCTACCCCTCTTACATCACTAATATCTGACGCTTCCCTATGTGATTTACATAGGTCGTACCTAATATTCTCCTTGGCATTCTCCTTAAAATGGCATCATCCAAATCAAATGGTCGATTTGTTGCACCCATAATCAGCACACCTTCATTACGAGACGTTAAGCCATCCCATTCTGCCATAAATTGATTGATTATCTCTCTATGCGCTCCATTGTGTATGTCTGATCTTCTGGATCCAAATATCGCATCAAGCTCGTCTAAAAATATCACGCATGGTGATAGTTTACGAGCAAGTGAAAATATTGCCTATTAACGATAAAAAATCACATAAGTGTTATACTTAATTAAAATGTGATAAGCTTGTAAACGTAACGTAACATATATCCATACCCGAACATTCTTCTCACCTTCACCAACATACATGTCGTATACATCGCTGGATTTAATTTCAATAACGGTGCTACCACTTTCTTTGGCAACAGCTTTCGCCAACATAGTTTTACCGGTTCCAGGTGGTCCAAACAATAATACACCTGATATAAAATGTCTTCTTAAGACTCCATAAGAAAATGATTGTGGTCGCATTAAAGGTAAAGTAATTAATGTTTGAAGTGTTTGAACAGTGGATTGTGCAACATGTATGTCAGAAAATCCTACAAAAATATTTTCTACAT